TACTACTACTACTACTACTACTACTGCTACTGCTACTACCACTACTACTACGATGATGATACCCGATGAAAAAATTAGCCTAGCGAAGGACCCAACCATATGCAGCTGCGAGTACCGCAAGGATACCAATGTCAAGCTCCCCCCGACCTTCGGCGGAGATCCCGATGGGGCCACGAAACGTGCGAGGGTGTGCCGAAATGGGTGTTGGGAATGCCGAAATGGGGTGGTGGGGGGGCATGCGAAAGCCGCTGGGGCCTTCGGTGGAGCTCCCTATGGGGCCACGAAACGGTGAAGGGGTGTGCCGAAATGGGTGGTGGGGAGGCATGCGAACCCTGCCACTGGGGCCTTCGGTGGAGCTCCCTATGGGGCCACGAAACGTGAGGGGTGTGCCGAAATTAGTGGTGGGGAGGCATGCGAACCCTGCCACTGGGGCCTTCGGTGGAGCTCCCTATGGGGCCACGAAACGTGTGAGGGGTGTGCCGAGATGGGTGGTGGGGAGGCATGCGAACCCTGCCGCTGGGGCCTTCGGTGGAGCTCCCTATGGGGCCACGAAACGTTGAAGGGATGTGCGAAACAATGGGTGGTGGGGAGGATGCGAACCCTGCACTGGGGCTTCGGTGGAGCTCATATGGGCACGAACGTGCTAGGGTGTGCCGAATGGGGGTGGCATGCGAACCCTGCACTGGGGCCTTCGGTGGAGCTCCCTATGGGGCCACGAAGCGTGTGAAGGGGTGGCCCAAAGGGTGGTGGTGGAGGCAATGCGAACCCTGCCACTGGGGGCCTTCACGGTGGAGCTCCCTATGGGGCCACGAAACGTGTGAGGGGTGTGCCGAAATGGGCGGTGGGGAGGCATGCGGACCCTGCCACTGGGGCCTTCTGTGGAGCTCCCTATGGGGCCACGAAGCGTGTGAGGGGTGCGCCGAAATGGGTAATGGGGAGGCATGCGGACCCTGCCACTGGGGCCTTCGGTGGAGCTCCCTATGGGGCCACGAAACGTGTGAGGTGTGTGCCGACATGGGTGGTGGGGAGGCATGCGGACCCTGCCACTGGGGCCTTCGGTGGAGCTCCCTATGGGGCCACGAAACGTGTGAGGGGTGTGCCGAAATGGGTGGTGGGGAGGCATGCGGACCCTGCCACTGGGGCCTTCGGTGGAGCTCCCTATGGGGCCACGAAACGTGTGAGGGGTGTGCCGAGATGGGTGGGGGGAGGCATGCGAACCCTGCCACTGGGGCCTTCGGTGGAGCTCCCTATGGGGCCACGAACGCGTGAGGGGTGTGCCGAAATGGGTGGTGGGGCATGCGAAACCTGCCACTGGGGCCTTCGGTGGAGCTCCCTATGGGGCCACGAAACTTGTGAAGGGTGTGCCGAAATGGTTGGTGGGGAGGCATGCGAACCCTGCCACTGGGGCCTTCGGCGGAGCTCCCTATAGGGCCACGAAACGTGTGAGGGGTGTGCCGGAATGGGTGGTGAGCTCCCTGCGGGGCAACGAAACGTGTGAGGGGTGTGCCGAGATGGGTGGTGGGGGGGCATGCGAACCCTGCCGCTGGGGCCTTCGGTGGAGCTCCCGATGGGGCCACGAAGCGTGCGAGGGGTGTGCCGAAATGGGTGGTGGGGAGGCATGCGAACCCTGCCGCTGGGGCCATCGGTGGAGCTCCCTACGGGGCCACGAAACGTGCAAGGGGGGTGTGCCGAAATGGGTGGTTGGGAGGCATGCGAACGCTGCCGCTGGAGCCTTCGGTGGAGCTCCCTATGGGGCCACGAAACGTGTGAGGGGTGCGCCGGGATGGGTGGCGGGGAGGCATGCGAACCCTAAGAGGGAGGAGGGCGAGGAGGAGGAGGAGGAGGAGGAGGAGAGGAGGAGAGGAACGCGGGGCACCGTCTCTTCAAAACGAGGACCCAACACCACAGGATGGTTGGGAACAACCAATCCAAGTCCGCGCAGGGCTATAGGGCTATGAGGCTATTGGGCTACAGGGCAATGGGGCAACGGGGCTATAGGGCAGTGGAACCATAGGGCTATAGGGCGACGGGGCTATTGGTCTATAGGGCTATAGAGCCACTTCTGAACCCCGTCCTGCGCCGCCGCGCCCTACATCATGTCCTCCTTCTTCTCAAGGATGGGCCCCATGCCTCTCAGCGCGCGGGTGCGCGCGGTCTCGAATTCGAGGACACCGCAGGCCCGCGCCATACGCTTCAGCGATTTCTTGGAGAGGCCGAGCCGCAGCAGGGGCTCGACATCCGCGACCTCCTCCACAGTCTCGGCGTCAGCCAGCTGGTGCTCCTGGCACTCGGCGTCGTTGTCGAGCAGGGGGTCGCCATCGTCGCCGCGGGGGGGGCCCACGGCGTCAGGTCCGTCCTCGAGGGGTGGAGGTTGCGCGCGGGGCGGCCCCGGCACCACCTCCGCCGCCGTCGGGCGACCGACCTCCTGCGCCGCCTTCTCCGTGGCCGGAGGGGCGCCCGCGCTCTCGGGAGCGATGCCCGCCCCGACGCCCTCCGTCGCCCTCCGCAGGGCTAGCAGGCCGTCGTTGGAGAGCGCGTAGCCCACGAGCGCGTCCATGCCCTCCTTGATGCGGTCGAAGCTCGCGCGGAACTTTGCCGCGCGCTTGGCGGCGTGGGCAATGGAGCCAGCTCCCTTGTTCTGGCGCGCCGCGAGCGTCACAGCCTCGCGCTCGGGGATGCCCTTCGCCGCCGCCACGCAGCGCGAGCACGTGTACAGCTTGTATTGGCCTTGTTCACCCTTCCGCAGCTTGGGGTGCTGCGGGTCGTGCTCTGCAGCTTCGCTGTAGCGGCGCATTTCGCCACGGTTGAGCTCATCCACGTACTCCACCATCATGACCTTCCAGTCATCCAGCGCTGCGCACTCACGACACCAGCCCAGGCGCTTCGGCGGGAGCCAGTACGCACCCATGCAGTGCACGTAGCCCGCCGCGAGGTAGTCCGCTTGCGTCATCATCTCAACGTCCTCGAGTCCAGCGGCCGTGCCGCCGCTCGGTGGGGGGGCTTTGCCGTAGGCGGCCTTGTTGCTGCGACGGCGGTGGCGTTTGCCGCCGTGCCCGCTGAGGGCGCCCGTGGTCGCCGCACTCGGGGCCTCACTGGCGGTCTCATCGGAAGAACAACAACATCAACAACAACAACAACAGCAACAACTACTACTACTACTCCTACTACTACTCCTACTCCTACTACTACTGCTACTACTACTACTACTACTACTACTACTACTACTACTACTACTACTACTACTACTACTACTACTACTACTACTACTACTACTACTACTACTACTACTACTACTACTACTACTACTACTACTACTACTACCACTACTACTACTACTACTACTACTACTACTACTACTACGACTACTACCACCACCACCCCACCACCACCACCACCACCACCACCACCACCACCACCACCACCACCACCACTACTACTACTACTACTACTACTACTACTACTACTACTACTACTACTACTACTACTACTACTACTACTACGCCAACGACGGCTACGACGACGAAGGTACCGACTTGCACTAGAATCCTGGTAATCACAAGCACAGAACTTATCGACCGTGTAGGGTAGCCCAGGGGGTGATACCCAACAGGAGCAATAACCACCCAACAGAAACCAGCACGGCGAACAATGCTCGGCAAACCACAGGGGCGCCGACCCCCGCAATTAATTACCAAACCAGAACTTGAGGGGGGGTCGTGTGTAGCACTACAAAAACCTCCTGCGGTTACAGGAGGAAGCCACGGCCTACCGATTCGGGGCCCGGGGAGGCTCACAGCCGGCCTTCGACAAAGCATAGAGGACCCTTACGGACAAGCTGGCTTGAGAAGTACAGCTTCTCAGTAATCGCCGCCGTTCCACATGTGTTTTTTATATGTGATGGGTTTCGGATACCACACACAGGATGACGAACTATCCAGAAAAGGCACCAGGGCAGCCCACATAGGACCTATAGAGATCCAGGATTGGCGCCAACCACCTCCACCTGCTCCAGGAGGCCCGCAACATGGCAGCTTCTGCGACTGCATGGGACGACGCAGGTACGGCATTAAGTGTCACAGGCAGGCATCATCAGCTGCCACATTCGGGGCACAAGCTGGCTAAAGCAGGGCGCCCGGCGCCAGTGAGACTCGACAGATGCAAGAGTGCAAGCACATGTGCCTTCGCTCAATAGCAACCTCCTGGACGCGACCCCGACCAGTTCTTTCAGCTGTGCCGCGCCTCGTCCACTGAGCCCCCCAGGAAACACCAAATATGCACCAAACCATAACCATCCCACCGCACCGGCGTCCGCATAATCGCCGTCCTGCCCGCCCCAGACCTGCCATGAGCGAAGCGGGTCCTGAAGGAACATCGCCCAGGGACAATTTTTTCATGCTGATCTCGTCTGTTGAAAGCCCCTTCGCCCGGGAGGGGCGCACGACGGCCGAAGCTTTCTAAAAACCTCAAGACCTCCAGCCCCCGGAGGTCCGAAATGGGCACAACGAATCCACCCACGAACCAAGAACCTCGATCCTCGATGGACCTCGACCCTCGGACATCGATCATGTGGCGTCCCTAGGCGACGGAGCCAACGGCTCGCAGACACCGGTCGCCCTCCGTCTGGCCACCCTCCGACGACGGCGGCGACGGCCACGACGATGGCGTCGGCGACAGAGGCGGCAACAGCGGCCGCGGACACGACGACGACGACGATGGCGAAGTCGGCGAAGCCGACGACGACGACTGCGACGGCGACGGCGACGGCGACGGCGACGGCGACGGCGACGGCGACGGCGACGACGACGACGACGACGATGACGACGACGGATCGGCGCCGACGACGACGACGACGCATCGGCGCCGACGGAAGCGACAGCACTGACAACGGCGGCGCACCGCCAGAGTCTGCCGCTCGCCGCTGCCTGCAGCGGCGACCACGGCGGCGGCCATGACCGCGGCGGCGGCGGCCACGGCGGCGACGGCGGCGGCGGCGCCGGAGCCTGCGGCTCGCCGCCGTCGGCCTCCCTCTGCCTGGCCGCCCCCTGCCCGGCCCTGGGCTGGGGCGGGCGGCCCTCGTCCGCCCGGGCGCCCCCCGCCTCGGCCCTCGGCCTGGCGGCGGCGGCGTCAACGACGACCGAGGTACGCTCAGGATCGGACCCTGGGGATCCGTCGTGGCCAGCCGCGGCCATGCCGCCTCAATCTGCAGTCGGGGGAACGCACAGGCGGGTTTCGAGGAAAATCGCTCCAAACGGCTCCTGGAAGAAGGAAGTGCGGGCATCCAGCTGGGCTCGTTCTCCAACCCCACTTTGGGAGAACCCCGCCTCTACGTACCCTAGATGCTGACGGCCCTGCGGAGTCCCAAGCAGGCCCTCTGCAGATGGCCAAAGTCTCGGACAACCGCCTCGAGCCGAGACGACGCCCAACGACACCGAGGACGACGACAACGACGACGACGACGACAACGACAACAACAACAATACCAACAACACAACAGCCACAACAACAACAACAACAACAACAACAGCAACAACAACAACAGCAACAGCAACAGCAACAGCAACAGCAACAGCAACAACAACAGCAACAACAACAGCAACAACAACAACAGCAACAATCATTTTAAGACTGTTTGCCCTTATCTGCTCGAGTGTCCAGCAACGCGTATTTCCCACACCCTCGATACCCGCCCTCTTCGTTTTCGATCGAACCCCTCTTTGGGGGTGTACTTTTCTTCCCTGCAGGCCGGGCCCCAGCAAGCGGCGGGGCGGCCGCGGACCGTCGGCCTGGCCAGGGGCAGCGTTGATCGGCGAGGCGGCCGCGGACCGTCGACCCGACCCCAAGAGGGACGGACAGGGGACCGACCACGACGACGACGACGACGACGATGACGATGACGACGGCGACGACGACGACGAGCGAAAGCGAGAGCGAGAGAGAACGACAGCAGGGCCACAAGGACACGAAGTAGGCCACGAAGGGCGACAGCGGGGACACGAAGGGAACGCGTGGGGCCACGAAGAGCCCGAACGAGCGGGGGCCACGAAGGGCAGATAATGCGGGGCCACAGAAGGCAACGATGGGGCCACTGAGGGTAGCAACTGGGCCACGTATGACAATGAGGGGGCCACGAAGGGCGACAGCGGGGCCACCAAGGGCATGCACATGAGGCCACAACGAGCGCGAACGAACGGGGGCCACGAGGGGCATGCGCATACTGGGCCGCGGAGGGCAAGGACGGGGCCACTAAGGGCAGCAACGGGGCCACGGAGGGCAACGAGGGGGTCACGAAGGGCGACAGCGGGGCCACGAAGGGCATGCATATGGGGCCACCGTGGAGCGGGGGCCACGAAGGGCATACATATATGGGGCCACGAAACAAAGCGAGGGGGCCACGACGGGATGCAACGGGGCCACGAAGGGCAGCGAGGGGGTCACGAAGGGCGACAGCGGGGTCACGAAGGGCTGCAACGGGGCCACGACGGGCTGCAACGGGGCTACGAAACAAATCGAGGGGGCCACGAAGAGCTGCAACGTGGCCGCGAAGGGCTGCAACGAGGCCACGAAGGGCTGCAACGGGGCCACAAACTAAAGCGAGGGGGCCACGATGGCTGCAACGGGGCCACGAAACAAAGCGAGGGGGCCAAAAAGGGCAGCGATATCCCGATTCCTAGGTAATCTATGAGGGAGTCCTAAGCGTGAGCGCGACTCCTGGGTGCCTGGGTGTGGGGAGCGCGGCGCTTGAGTAAGCTGAGGGAAATTCCAACGCAAGGGCGTGATTCTTCAGTAAATCGCAAGCAAGTCTCCAGCGAGAGCGCGGCTCCAGAGCGCCGGGAAAGCGATTCTTAAATAAATTGTAAGGAAACCCAAAGCGAGAGCGCGATTCCTGAATAAAATGCGAGGAAGGCTCGGGCGGGAGCGGGGGTCCTGGCTAAATTGTGAGGAGGTCTCAGGCGGGAACCGTTGTTGTTGTAACCCGGGGGCCAGAGGCCTAGATTGAGCCTCAAGACTTCCCCTGTTACAAAACAGGGTGCGAGCGTCGAGGGACATACTTTGATTGAGAAAAGACAGTACGCACCGGTCGGGGTGGATCAACCATTATTATTTTTCAGAAGTGAAAAGTCAACAACAAATAAACAAGGTAAGGCCGGGTTCCTGCTGCCCTGCCCCCCAGGGCGCTAGGTTTCCGGCCTTTCCACTGAGGCGAGGCCGGGACCCTACTGCCCTGCCTCCAATTGCGAGGGGGGGTCGCAACCGCAACTCCGCAACGTCCGCTGCCACCATAGGGCTTTGCAAACGAATGGCTAACAGCATCCCGCTGAGATTCTGTGCAGAACCTCGATGCGCGCACCAGCCGACATCTACAACCTACTGGGACATGTATACGGGCTCTATGGGACGTCCTGGGACATGTATACGGGCTCTATAGGATATACTGGGACATATATAAGGGCTCAATAGGATATACTGGGGCATGTGCAAGGGGCTCTATGGGACCTACTG